TATTTTTCAGTTGTAGTAATTCAATATATTTAAAGAAATGCATACAGTACACCATCAAGTAGATAAAAGTCAGCGGAACAATATAGAATGTACAGTATTACTCCAGAGAGTCATGCTGGAAGAACAAGTTATGCCAAGAAGCACATCTGCTTCTGCAGAAGAAACTGCAAGGAAGTTTACTCTTCAGGAAATATTGCAGAGTAATGCTAACAAAGCATGGAAAAGATATGCAATGACTAATACTTGAACCCCTTGCAATTTTTCTTACTGCTGCTTTACTGTTATATTTTAAAGAAAAAAGTGTAAGATGTTTTAGTCACTGCAAAGCTTTCCTGTGTTTTTGGAGTATTTGGTCAAAGGATCACGTATTCCACTCAGATACACTTTTCTAACTTTCTTTTTAAGTCTCCAAAAGAAAGTCCACATCTTTCTAGACATCTGTTTCTATGTTTAAGTATCCTGAGCGCTCAACAGTTACTTCTTAGTTTTGTGAATTGTAGCAAGGAAAGCTTAAGTCTAACATTTTGCACTACGGACGTAGAACACTGTTCCCTTTCTCTGTGCCGCTACTGGTCACAAATTTAAGCTTTATATTGTTTAACAGAAAGGAGCCTAGAGGTTTCAATCCTTCCTCATAGTTCATCTTTTCCAAACCTCCAATCATATTTATTGTTCTCCTCTTGCTCATCTAAAATTATCCAATATATATAAATTTTGGAAGCGGTACCCAAGATAGGCGAAGAACTTCATTTGAGATCTTTGCACAGAAGAGAATAAAAGAAGTTACTTGATATCTTTCACTATTTATACATCTGCTTCCCTCTTCTATTTTGCTCAAGAGCATGGCATTGTTAATATTTTTCAGCTGCACAATAATCCCCAGCTCTTTTCTGCTGTAAACCTCTGGCAGGTAGTAAGAGTTCCAAGTAACAGACTGAATTGCTGTTGTGGTAAGTGCCGCAAAAACGCAGACTAAAATGTCTGCTCATAACTTAACAGATAGGACGAACAGAGAAAAGATTAGAGTGTTTCATATTAACAGTGGTAGAAAAAACTTTATGTTAAAGTGCTTTATAAGCTTTGGACTACTGACCTGTGTTATGCCAGAAAATAAAAATAAACAAAAAAAAAATTTTAAAGGAAAATCTTAAAGGTATTTAGAGATCACAGAATGAACTTTCCCATCCCACAGCTAGAACTTACTGCAGAATATTAAAACTAGGCTGCTGTACCAAATCTTCCTAGAAAACAGGAGGACAAGTACATACACTTGCTGTATCTGTAATAATATGGTCTTAGATTAACACATAGACGAATAAAACACACAGAAATGGTGCTCCCCAGCACAGAACTCCTGTTCATCGAGTAATTCCTACTTCCAAGTGCAACAGGACCTTTATTTCTTTGCAACTTAAATTCTATCCAAGTTCTGAATGTTATCTCTAAAAAGAAACACTAACAAGCAGCTAAAACATAGTTCAGATATGTAAATTCCAGTCCGGCAAATTTGTAAGAGAAACATATTGCATGAAAAAATTATACTTTAGCAGTATTAAATATAATGCATTTGCTGTATAACATTAACTATGTTCATTGAAGTTTTTTTTTAAACAACCACTTATTCTAAATACCTTGCCTTCTAGAACCAGTTCCTTGAACATTCTTGGTTTTCATCTCATGCTTGGGGACCAACACAGTACAGCTGCTATCTACACACCCTCCTCATCCTCTATTCATGCTTGTTGAACAATTTTCTCATTGACATGCTTCCTGTTTTTCCTCAAATGCTTCTCCAGTTTGTCAAGAGCGTTTTCTGACCTTCCCATATTGGTTTGATCTACTAAAGTAATAAGAATACTTTGTATTCCATATTGAATCTATTCCTTGAGAGATCACAGGGTGTAGGACTGATCTTGGTGGAATCCCACCTGAAACAGAGTTTGAGTTTCACAATAACCTTTCCCATATAACCTTTTCAATAATTTGCGTCCACCTTGTAGCAACTTAGTCTAAGCCATATTGCTTTAACTTCCTACGACAGGTATCACTAAAAGCCTTAACAGAAGCCAAGACAGGACTTAACTTTTTCTAATCAAAAGCATGATTATCAAGCCAGAAAAGTTAGCTTAAATTGATGATCCTGACAAATTCTTGCTAGTCCTTACATAGGCTCTTGTTATCTTCTAGATGCCTTAGACCTACCAAAAGGATTTGTTCTTGTTTTTCTTCAGAAGCTGAGCTTCTCATTAGTCTCCTGCCCGCACTCTGTTTTTAAATTATCATCCATCTATTAACCAGGTCCTAAAGGTAAATTACCATTGATCTTTAATGAGATATTTACTACAGACCACAGACTACAGTTCACCAGGACAAAACAAATCTGAAATTAGTCCCCAACCCTTCATTTTAAGTCTTAACTTTATATTTGATCATGCAGCCAATTTTTTTCCTTAAAAAAAAAAAAAAGTGAGACTTTTTCCTTTATCTTCCTCCTGTTACAAGTACAGTACTTTAAGGAAAATAGTATTTTCTTTCTAGCTGCATCTAACCAGGCCTGATCTTATTGTTTCGTTTTCCACTCTTATGTGCAACCTTTCTTGAGATTCAGATCTTTAAAAGTTTAAATGCTGGCTGCTATTACACCTCCTATTTTGTCTTATTTAAATAGATACTGCAGATGTTCAATGCAATTCCTTTGACAGGCTGCCAAATCAAAGTGCCTTTTTGCCTTTGACATGTTTCCCATACTTAATAACAACACCAGCACAGATTATCTTCTCCTTGTCTTTATTTTGCTGCTTCCTTCCCTCTGAGGAAGTTAATGATTCTTATTCCATAGCCATGTTGCTCCCATATCACAAAATATGCAACTTTGAGGTTTATTTAAATCCCCATAATTCACATCACCCTGTTAAGTCTTCTCCAATCAAACTACAGAATTTTATTATGAAATGGAGTTTACCTTATTAAAGTGCAGTTTTTATGCGATCTTAGATGCTTTGAGGGTGGGATGGTGTTTACTCTCACATACATACCCTGAAGTAGACATAACACTACATTTCTGTTCCTTAAGAGGACATTTCTTATACTGAAGAGATACCTTCATTAAAGATGACCAGCAAACGGGCACGACTGGTGACTGCAATAGAAGACCAAGTGAAGGACGTTTGACAACTGTGAATATAGCAAAATACCTGAAGACATATATATATATTTTAAGTCCCTAATCAAAGGAAAGCTATTTATAAAGTCATAGCTCTATGTGCTCTATTAAAGTATACTTCTGGATGTCTACAAGAACAAAATATTTCATTAAAAGAGTCAGCAGAGCAGTTAGAAGGGCAAAGCTCTCACTGATAAAGCTGTCCTTTGGAAAAGGGAAAACAACACTAAGAAAGTCAAGACATAAGTGTTTTCATAATCATGTACCAATAAAGTTAGAAACCTGTTAGGTAAACATTGCACAAATCACTGCAGATCATAGAAAGAAAAGTGGTATTAGTAGATAGGTGCAAGTTAAAAGCTTGTTTAAAATGCTTGAAAATTGTGTTAATGCAAAGCAGCTCAGAAAATCTGTTACAATATACTTTGTCATAAAATTCAAAGTTCATGAAATTATAAGAAAAGCTATAGAGAAAGATTTAGCTGAATAAAAGGAGATTAAGATCAGGATGAGTAGACTTTCCATTAAAAGAATCATATATAAATAATACATTTCAGGGAGAAGGAATTCTCCCACAACCAGAGGATTAACTTGATAGAAGCTGAGCACAATGTGTCCTATTTGGTTTCAGTATGAAATTCAAATATTTATTTTTTTAAGAGAGAAAAATTAAAAAATATTGAAAAAGGATCACTGAGGAAAATAAATGATGAATTTCTCCTAACGCTACAGAAAAAAAAACTAGTCTTCCTCAGAATTCCTTACAGTATGTGGAAAAACAATACATATTTGGTCCCCTAGATGATGGGGGGGGGAGTGGGGTGGGACCATGACATCCAATAAATCAGTGGTTAACATAGAATCAGGGAAATCCTGTAAACGTTTTTCGTAAATGTGAGACATCAAAACATTCTTTGGTGTAACAGTCTCCTAAGGGATCTCTGATGACACATTTTATATCCAACTTCAAATAAGAGGGAAAAGAAACTGTTAAACACTTTACATTTAAACTTTGCATCACTTAAAAAATGCTGTATACATATAAGGTCACAGTTTAGAATGCATCTGTTACTTTAATAGAATGCATCCAGTCTATAAATAGCAAGTCTTAATTGTTTCGGCCAAAGGTCCACTTCTGGAAGGGGTCTGATGGGTTACACGATGCCAAACTTGGATGCTCCCCATTTCCTGTAAGGCACATATGTAGTGCTGCACTGTACAGTGTTTGATCCTAAAGTGGGTGAGAAAGGAAGAAAAAAAGAAAATAAGCATTCAATGAGCATGCTACTTACTCCACTATTTTTTTTTCACCAAGTTTACTGTCATTAAAAATAATAGGACCACACAGGTAGAGCAGAAGAGGGCTAGCAAAAGAATTCAAGCAGCATGCAAGTGTGAAGTTGTGTTGCTAGGAAGAAAAAACTTCTTCCTTTTTGGCTTCAGAGTTTTGTTTTGTTGGGGTTTTCTCTCACTGGAAACCAGAATTAACTCATCCAAAAGATCACCGACAAAGATACCCATTCACTGCACAGCCTAAATACCTTTCGATGCTCCCATTGCTCTTCTCCAAGAGCAAAGGTTTTCTGGCCTTTGTAGTTACATTCGCGAAGTTGCACTGGTCCTTTTGAAGCATGCAGACAAAGCTCCTTCTGAATGTTATGTCGAATTTCACGGTGTGCAGAATATTCAAAATACTATTTAAATAATTTTAAAAGATTAGTAAATAAATACAAACAAGGATATCAAACTAAATTAATTCTTTGAAATTCCAATAGACAAAGAAATATATTTCTTTTGTTATTCAACAATTTGAAACTAAGGAATCGTTTCTCTAATATTTGGCATATACACTCTAAAAAATATACAAAAGTAAAAGCATTTTTGAGTGTTCATACAACTGAATATAGTCAGCAGCACTTTAAAGTGAAACACAAAAAACCACTTGCTGCACAGGCATAATGAGGCAAGATTTCACAGCTTGCTCCCCCAGGAATCATAACTAACACAAGGAGAGAAAACGAAGAGCGGAGGTGGTTTCATGGACAAATTTAAATTTGTTTTTTCCTAACTTTAGAAGTCTTTATTCCATTTTTGTTGTGGGATTTTGATTTTTCTTAGAGCAACTGAAAACAAATTTTATCACATGGAACCAAACTGATTCCCATTTGCCAACTTTTACTGCTTGAACGAAACAATAAACGCTAGCAACAGGATGCTGTGATGTTCTGTGTGAGCTAGCCATTGGAAAAGTATAATGCAAGCACATATTTTGCCAGTGAGTTCTACTAATATTTCCTGGCAGCAGAATACTCTTAAGACTCAGGAATCCTAGGCTGTAATTCAGATCTAAAAAGGGATTCTAGTAGTTACTGACACAGCTGTCCTTTTATACCTTGTCCTACCCTCCTTTAGCCTGGTCTCTTCCTTTTCTCCTTCAAATAGCAGAATTCTTATCATTATATCCCAGTGTCACTGGTTTTTGGCTCCACGTGTCAGCCTTCTTTACCAAATCCTTCCATTGACTATTAAGCCCAGGTTCAGTTAGCTCCCAGTGGCTTTCATCTATCTGTCCAATTGGTCAGCTTCCTTCTCCTCACTGCCTTGGCATGAATGGGAATAGCACTGAGGAACAGCTATCTTAGTCTTAGTTCCTGTGCACAGCATCATTGCCTGAAACAGGTACTGAAAGGAGTGCCCTGCTTAGTCACTTAGCTCTCAGTCGTAATAATTTACTTTAAAGACTTAATCTGCTCTTATTTATCTTTTGAACTCCAAGATCCCTACTAGCCCTAAAAACAAGAGTTGAAAGCTAGCTTAACGAACCTTAATTTTGGATATTGAGATGCTACCGAGATGGACGTGATTCCAGCTCTAGAATATCATTCACTATGCCAAAAGGGAAGAACGATAAACAATTGCTGCACAAGTCCAAAAACTAGGTTCTCCCGCTTCCCTCTCCCATCTCAAAGATACGGGCTGAGAAGACAGGTAGCACGGAGAATTTCAGCCTACAATGCTAAAGTCTGGCAAAGAATATAAAACATCCAAAAACAGGATGTTGCCAAGAAAAGGGTTAAGTAATCAAATATGTACAACTCTTGGGCACCAGCAGTACAACCTGTATTAAAATTCTCTGAAGGGATTTAAAGGGATTCAGACTGTTATTGTATAGCAGGAGAAAAAATAAAAACCACAAACCTTGAAAACAGAGTTTTAGTACACACTAAGATAACTTAGAAAAGGATGGCAATAGAAGCATACAAAGGATCTCTTAATACAGTATCTCAGTACAGTGTTCCTGCATCAGGGACTGTCACAATCTGAAAAGGCTTACATATTAATCCACAAACAGAATCCAAAGAGAAATGCAAAACTGTAAGAAATACCAATATAACAGGGCAGCTGTTAAATCTTGAGAGCTTTCCTGCTCCTCCAGAAATTAATTAGGAAAGCTTCAACGGACTTCAGCATAAGGTATCTGACTTTTCATAATGCCATTAACCAGCTGGCTTTTAGGAGCAAAGTTTTTATAAAAAGTGGTAACTGCTACAACCATTTTCTAACTAAAATGTTTAAACTTTTATTGAGCTTTAATTATTAAGGATCTCCAGTTAGTAAAATGTACGCCCCAGATACTTCTCTGTTGCTTTAAAGAGCTATGTGTTTCCGGGCAGGGAGGGAGATACTACTTTTCTTAGTATTACAGTAGCAGTGAAAGATTCACTGTCTGACATCTATTGGAAGTCATACTGTACAAGAAACAGAAGATCATTGCTGCCTTCAAGGGCTATGTATCAGAGAGAGCTCTTCTTGGACAAATTCAGTCATATTACTCATTTGCATTAGCCAGTATAGGGTAGACCATTTTGACCTCACACTACAAGGCTGCAATCGTGATAGGGAAGGTGGCTCAGGCCTGGCCACTTGGTCTCCCATTGACAGGATTCTCATCAACATCTTCCTTGACAGTGCGAGTCCTGGTGGCAGAGAAAGAAGCAATAGGAGGAAGTATGAGGAAAGGAAGAATCAAGAAGACAACACAAGAAAGTAGTAAGGGTAGGGTGAAAAGGTTACGCATAGCGGAAAAGAGAGATCAAGCGAAGAAGTGCAATTGCATCATAGAGGAATTTGTGTATTTTGTCATGCAGAGTTTTCGTCCAACTGGTTCTGTAAGCTGCTCTCAGAATAATTGTATTCTGTTGATCCAAGTCCAAAACCGAGGCTTAACTATAAAACCGTGTTCTCAGAAGTTTCTGTTGGCAATTCTATAGCTTAAATATTACTAGTTGTTTCCTTGCGTAACGATCGCAATGTAACGTACTGTAGGTGGAGATACCTACCGAAGGTGCCTATAGCATGCTTTTGCAAGAACATAAATTTCAAGACATAATATACTTAAAATAATTTTTAAAAACTTTAGGAAACACACAAGCATACTGTAAGCATACAGTTATCTCATTGTGTTTCTAATGTCCCACCACCAGAAGTATAAAAGGTGAATTTGTACATTGAACATAAAATGTTAGAAGACTCCTTGAATAAATATATATAGGAATTAACTCTTTATAAAAAAAATGAAGTGTGAAATACACTAGAAAAATGCATAGTAAAAATAAGTCGGTTTCTCTAAAATAAATGGAAGAGTTTCAACATGGTAAAGTTATAGCTGAACGGATCACAAAAATTAGGTATCAAATATTTTACCTGATTTCCTCCAAGTCCATGACAAGAATACATAATCAGCGGTTTGCCACCATGGTTGTTTTCACCAACATCCAGACAGGTACGACTACCTAGATTTTTTAACTGAAGAAAATGCATTATAAGCAAAAATGAAATAAATCTCAGTGAGGATGAGAAGAATTAAATTGCCTTGTTTATATATAAAACAACCCTTTGGCTTGACAAAAATTACAACTGTAATTAAGTCGTTTTTACTTAGCTACTCTCAAATTTAAGAATACAGGTCTCTCAGTTAATCTTTTCTAGTCAAAGCCTAGAAACTGTGTTATGGATATCTCCGCCACGCACTGTGAATTATCACGTTACTGGCATATTATTCAGATTACAATTTGACAAAATAAACATAAAATATTCAAAACCCATACTAAACGTTCACATTTACCTGAAATTAAGAAATAGTTATTTAATATTTTGTTATTTTTAGCACTGCAATACCTAAGAACTTATTCGGTAGAGGACACAGTTTATTTTTTTTAAACACACATTTTCCTCATCACAAATCTAATTCTGAGAAGCAAACAGCTGTCAAAGCACAGGTTTCCTCATTAGTATGAAGAAAAAATCCCTCAAACTTCTTACTATATAAAGCTAAATTTACTCTCACAATTCAGAAAAATCTCTCACCACTGGCTTAATCAGTTCATTATTAGTGATGGGCAGAACATGGCTCATCTTAGCAGGCTGAGTAGCAAAGCTACTGCTAATTATAACGAGAGTTTGTTTAAGTTTCATATCAGCATTGACAAAGTGTCAAAATATTCAAATAGCAAGGTATGCAGAAGAGAATCTTTGTTCAGAGAGAAAGTAAACACTAGAGCAATGGTAACGACGGCTAAAGTAGTACAAAAGATTAGCAAACTTTCTGAATTCTACAGCAAATAAGTAAAATTAGGAATAAACTTACAAATCCAAAAAACAAAGGATTCAGGTCTGGCACATATGCTTCCGGATAAACATTATTTAGATACCATGTAAAATTTTTACACTGCAGACGCTGCCTTAAATCACGTCTTTTTGAGATGTCTCCAAATGCTTTCTGATGGAGGGAAGGAAGGAAAGATGGATGGATGGAAGAGGACTATGTTCAGGTTACTGATATCAAAGTTGCACATATAAATCTATGATATTCTGTATAGTATTATAAAACAGATTTTAAGCTTCATTTGTTGATTTTTTTTAAAATATACTGAACTACCACCATTAATGGTGCTTTTTTTTCCAGTAGCACAACACCACTGACCTCCTGCGTGCAGCATTTCAAAGCATATACAGGAAACGTACTTTGCCACGTGGAAGCAACACAAGCATCCTTAGTCCCAAAAGGGATTTAACACAGCACCATTGAGAGGTGAAACTACACACAGGTAAAGATCATATTGACCACAGCTATAAAGCTAAATGAATACATCTCATTTCACTAAAAATAATGTGCTGAAATAATGAATTGGATTAATCCAATAATTAGCATAATAGTCAGTTATAATGCAGATTCTGCCAGACAAAATGCAGTTATCTTTAGCTGCTAAGCATACTTAAGAACGCTAACTCTGTTAGCGACATTTTTCTCAAAAATTCATCGCAAGAAGGGAGAAAAATTGGCTTCTCAAAAAGTGAAGTATGGGTTCCAGCTGGCAGAACAGCTAAGTTCCAGAGCACGTATAAACATAAACAAACCAACCCCTGCCCCCGAATCTGAATTTAGCTTAAGGTTTTAATCAGATAGAAGTAGCATTGATATCACTGAGTAAGCTCTATTTTCCAGTTAAAGAACAACAAAAGCTGCTTTTTAGATAAAAATACTAAGCAACTTGAGAGAAACGAGACAGTACATTTTTCACTCACAAAAACAAATTAGCTTGCATTTTGTATGTTCAGTATTCTTCTAATAGCTCCCATAGCTGTTCAATGAAAACAACCCAGAGTTTTAGAGAATGTATTGAAAACTCTACCAATCAAAAAAAAAAAAAAACCCAACAAAACTATCTCCCAAACACCCTAGTGTTTTCAAGTTTTCGGAGGCTACAGCATTAAGCAAAATGAACTCTGCCTGCCTTTTCATTAAAATATCTAGAATTCTTACATACTTTGTCAATAAATAACTTTTGCTCACCAAAACTTTCAACGCAGCAAGCGTGATTTCTAATACCACCACCACCACCTACTTGTTTCACAATTTTTGCTGCCTCTGTGTTTCTTCGGTAAAATATTTCCTTATATTCATCCATCCAGACCTCTGCAAGGCGAACTTGATTACGTGTGATCACTTGAGTACCTTTGGGGAAAGTATGGGGACTCTTGCTGCGAAAGACATGGCCAACAACAGAGCAAGGCATGATCTCCAACTGTCCACCACATTGCCATACCTAATAATAACATTTTTTGTATAAGTGCACTGCAGTTAAAATTAAAGGGTTGGAAAAAAATTCAGCAATATTACTATTTACCTAAAAATCAACCAACCAAACAAACCAAAAAACCCTAGCAAGGGTGCATATATTATGAATACCGTAAGTGAATTTCTTATGCAGGTATACCCTGGAAACATACATTCTGGCTATCAAATCAAAAAACATTTTAGAAAATCACTTCATTGAGCAAGTTTTTTGTTTATATCATAGATCATTAGTGATTCATTTCCCATTTTCTATGTCCTAGTTGGCTGACTCAGCAGAGAAGTCAGGATCTAATACTAATCTGTCCTCAAACATCCTGTACAGCGTGAGTATAGACACCACTATCTGAGAATTAAAGAGCTAAACTTACTCTGAAAGACATTTCTATATTTTCACCTCCCCATATTTCCATTTCTTCATCATAGCTTCCAATCCGTTCAAAATAGTCTTTTGATATTGAAAAGAGACCTCCTGCAAAAGTGGGTGTCCAAAAAAAAAAAAAATATATATATATATATATATATATCAATCAAAGTTACTACTCCTCTAGACCAGTAACCAGTCTGAGGCCAAAGCATGTATAAATATCACTGAATTGCACCACCATAACCGTCTAGTATTTCAGAGTTCTGAACCGTTATCATCATCATTTTGGGAATTATGAATAGGGAGCCAGAATCTGTGCTACTGTCTTACTGTAAGAAAAACTTAAAATTTTCTCTTCCCCCTGCCCTAGGAAAAAAAAAAACCAAAAAACAAAACTAAAAAACAGGAATTGCTTATGAACTTCAGCTTGTCTAGGCTCCTTTCTCAAATTTGAAATCAAAGTACTGTACATATTTCCTACCGTACATAGGAAAAAAGAAATGTATAGCCGTAAGGAGGCTATGTATATTTTAAAGAAAGGTTTAAAATTTACTACCTGGTATTTAAGGAAAGTCTTATGAAAACATCTAAGACATTAAGACTTCTGAGCATACTTTAGATATCTAAAGAACTATTTCATTTAAAAATTGCTGTTTATAACAAAAAGCATGAAAATTGAAGGATTTAAAATAGTCTTCAAATTCTGTTTACCTAATTGGATAAGTTTCATCTTTTCTTCTTTTATTTTCATGTTTAGGAAGAGACTCCCATCCAAATGACAAACTCCAATCAAAATTTCCTCTGTTATGGTTCTGCCCATAAGGAGATGGTTTACCGAATTCAAAAGTATTGAGATCTATAGAAGCAATATCAGGGCTTACGACAGCAACAGAGTTCTCAGCTATTCGTGCCAATAATGGCTCTAACCATCCATAAAAGCATTCACCTGCAGAGAAAAAGAAAATTGGAACAAGCACTAAATTTCGAGTTCATGATATAGTGGCACACAAACTACTTTAACATGCCTGCAGGAAGCAACTGTGCAATGTCTCTAAATAGCATTGCCAATATCCTTCAAATAATATAAAATAGCAGTAGGAGAGATTATACAATGTTAATTTTCATAAAATATTTGCAGTATTAAATCAAAGCAAACAATGTTATAAACCCGACCTGGTGTAGTTACACTTACAATGAGCATCCAGAAAGGTAAGGGTCTCTCCTGTTGCTACTGAAGCTCCCAATAACCGTGCAGTGATTAGACCTTTTCTTTCCTTTTGACGGACTACTTTAACTATTTGAAATTGTTTCACATATTCATCTAGTTTATCATGCAAGTATTCTAAAAAGAGAAAACAGTTTTAGGATATGCAGTATATACATGCCACCGCCTAAACTTTTACTTTCACATTACTAAACTAACAGGGTAAAGAAGTTGTTCACTCTAACTAACGTTAACCTCTAAGTAGTAAACAATTCCTGACAGTCAAATGTTATTTTTAGGAGCTGATTTTTGTTCATTTGTTTGGGGCGGAGGGTAAAGAAGAACGTTGAAAATATTCTGTAAAAGGACGTTTTCTAGTATATCTATCTGTTCTGCAGTATCAACAGTAAAACACTCAAAATCCATTTTCATGGCAAGTAGATCATGTACCTACTTACTCAAGTTATCTGCAACATCCGCAAATGTTTCTCCTTAACGAGAGGACATCTTAAACACATTTTTCAAAGGCTATAACATTTACGTGCTATAGAAGCCATACAAAAATCTTTTCAGACATGGAAAATTCGAGAGACAATCCCACATTCCACTTCAAATACCCTACATCCTCTCGCCCCTTAGTTTTTAATTGTACTTCTGAACACAAATCACATCTGTGCATCAATAAACTAAAACCAGATTTTAAAATTTAAGTGCAATTACACTCATATAAGCATGTACCCACAGATGTGTTCATCTTAAGTTAAGCATATGAAGTTTTCTGAACTTTCATTTGTGATCACTCTCAGTATACACTCAAATATTCTTAGCAGCCAGTTTGAGTATCAAAGATTATTTTTATATTAAATAATTTTACATTCTAGGAAAGACATTTCCCTTCATATTAAGGACATTCATTTGTATGAAGGTAATCACTATGATAAAACCTTTGAAACTGTTATAAGCATTGGCTGATTTATTCTCGGATACTTCATTCCATAAATTGTAATTAGTTTTAAGCACACGTTAGTGTTACTTGTCACGCTACCAATTATGCAGTTTAAGTACCATTAGACAACTTTTAAAAAATAGGTTATAATTGGAATCAGCAGAAATAGGGTTTAAAAATCTGTTAGCAGACAAGAATTTCATATTTGATCACCCTTATGAAGACAAGATGAGGAGGTACCTATTTTTTATTTTACAGAAAGAGAAAGGAACAAAAGCACTTCAAATATTGGTACACATCTCAATGGTACTAAAGAGATATCTTTGTTTAATCAATTCTGTATACAAACATAACATGTATTAAATTAAAAAAACAAAATAAAACAAAACAAAACACAGTCCAAGGCAAAATAGAAAGACTTTTCCTTACCATCGACACTGGCATCATCCACCAAAATAATCTCCTTTAGCAGTATGGCAGGAGAGGTATACATCACACTGTGAACAGTTCTGAGCAGGGTGGACCATGCTTCATTATGAAAAACTATTATAATACTTGTGGTTGGCAATGGTGGGCAACGCTTAAACTTTTGTTCAATACATCTATAGATTAAAAAGTGTCAGATGTTACAAAACGTACACAAACTTTTGACTCAAACCCTTTAGAAAAATTCTTTCTAATGCCGAATTTAAGGAATGGGGATTAAATGGTTCTAGCCTCTAAAATTTCTAGCCAAACTTTAGAGCACAAAAGACAGTATTAACCGGAGGAGCTGCAAAAAATATTTTTAAAAATCTAATCAATAAAAATTGTATTTGAACAATTACCACAATCCTCCTTTTGTCCTCACAAATATTCAAGTATGTTTGATATAGCACCCAGGTCTTCTCCAGACAAAACTGTATGACTTCTATCGAGTCCAACATACATTGGGCTACAAAGTCAGACTTTAAGTCACTACTACTGGCAAATATAAGACAACAAACATTTACCAGAAGATATGTGAACACAATTCTTAATGGGTAGCTAACCTATGGAACTATAGGTTATATTATGTGTATATACATAACCTATAGAATAAATTTTGAGGAACGAAAGAGTTTCAAAGAGCATTTAAGCACATCTGCTTCAGCTTCAACCTTTCCATACTGGAGATGAAAATGTTACCTCCAGAGGAAGTTGTACTCACATTTTTCTACCCTATCAAGAGGTGTAATACCAGTATATTATTACCTAGATACTTCAGATATTTAGAACAGAAGAACGCAGAGCAGTAGCACAATTCCACGCTTGGAGAATTTTGGGTCACTTGACGATTGCCTGTCCAGAATCTTCCAAGCTTTTCAAGCAAGCCCACGAAAGACAGTTTCTACTCACTGTTTGTATGACACTGAGCATATCTGACCATTGATGCTAATCATATTCCTTTATCTACAAGAATACAGGTAAAGGTCCTCATATAGGGGGAAGTATTCTACTTTACTTTACATAGAGGGAAGCCTTCTACTTTAACACCTAGATCAGATTTGTTTCTAAAATTTTGCAACTCTTTTGATTGAATCTTATCCAATTTTTAAATGCTAAATATCAGTTCCACACATCTAAATTTTTCAAGATTTCTAGAAACAAGATAGTATTATATGTTTTGTCAGTAGAGGTAACAATTTTATAAGGGAAATACTATCTCACATCATTTAAGCACAGGATATTAGAGGGTTATCAGATGGTAACGTTCATCCATTATTACTTGGACTTAGATTTAAAATTCATAAAGATGAAAGAAAATCCCCATTAATTATTGAATCCCTGAACCTCTGCAAACATCATTTAAACACAAGATTGCATTTTGGAGGTTTCTTTAAGGAAATATTTAGTTCTCCAAAATGTCTGTGAAGCCTGTGAAGCATTTATGAAATCATGTGCTTTGCAAAATTTGAAAGGGAAGAGAGAATACATCCAATTCAGAACTTCAAAATTTTGCGGCAATACCATATGATGCTTAGGGCATTTTATCCCATTTAGGGGCAATGATTTTAAACTTTAAAGTTTTTCATATATTCTAAATAGAGCTTTAAACCTAATACCAAGTCAAGATCAACAAGACAACACTTCTGCGTGCCATACGCTACACACTTACTGTTATTGCCTGTCAACTCTAGAGACAGGAACACTCCCCGAGCCAAATATCACAGCTGCTGCCAAAACTCTCGCTAAATATACAAGTCAAATCTCATCAGTTACCCTCTACCAAAGGGTATTGTGAGCTGCACCACATATAACATGATACTCATACTAACAGCAGCAGTTCAGGAAAGTTCGTCACTTCCGACACTGACAGCTAAAAACATACACTCTGACGCTAACAGAGATTGCTCAAAACCAAAAACAATCCCACCTGTCAAGTCCTACAGGTTTGACTAATAAAATTTCTCCATACTATAAGATCAGAGAGACATTCCATTGTCTTGCTCACCAATTTACAACACCTGGTTTATTAAATTATGCTGGTGGTTTTTATTAATATGTAATACTAAAAAAGGAAAAAAAGATCTTTAAAATGTGAAAATATCAAGCATTTTTTTCATTTTCTTTAAGTAAAACTTAGCAGGATCGCAGAGGGTCACTGAGAAAATTTAGCTTAAAGGCAAAGCCAAAAAACCTTATTTAAACATGGCTGCTTTGAATTCAACAATGAAACTCTCATGAAATAAGTGAGCCTTTATAAACGTTCTTGGCTCTAGCACTGTGGATCAGTCAATCATTACGTTCAGTTAAGATACTTTGCTACCTAAACTATCACCTAATGCTGAATCCAATCACTTTGCACGTTTTTGACAAGTTTTTCAACTCTCAGCACATACAGATTTCAACATACTCAGGAGGTCGAGTGTCTGGTCCAAGATCTCGGTGTAAAGAAATCCTGTCACTCGCAAATGCATTAAAACAGTGCTTTTCTTCTCCAAGCTCTTTTTCTTTCTGCTCTTCTGCACTTAAATTGATGGTTTTAAATGCTTTACCAGAAGCTCCGGGAGCATTAGGATCCTGAAGGGGTCGCTCCAGAAAGGGTTTTAGTTCCACTGCTGTATAGTGTCCTGGCAAACAGCGCCTCTCTCCAGGAATCTTAGTTTGCCTAACAGGTGCTTTTATCTGCATTTTCGGTTTTGCACCTTTGATATTGTTCATTGCATTTAACATGAGACCTAATACATGACTTTTCTTTCCCACAACATGCTCAATCCCTGCTTCATCTTTAGAATCTTCGATGCCAACTTCTCTTTGTAATAAAAGCAAAAATACCAAAAAGACAAGAACAATAATGCTAAACTTCCAAAGTTTCCAGTGAAAAAATAATTTCTTGAACAGTTTAAGTATTTTTTTCAAAGCCATGCTAGTTTTAGAAGTTTATCACAAGAAAAAAGTTTGTGAATGATGTGCTTTAACACTGACTAGGTCACAGAATTTCTTGAAACTGTAATACCTGCAAATTGAAATAAAGAAGTATTAATCGAGACATCTAATATATACAACAATGTATAACCAGAAGAAGTTGATGGGTGGGAATTAATTTACAAGTCCCAACAGTCAAACATCATGTGTTTATCACTTAAATCTAGGTCAAACTGATCTCCAAGATCCCCAAGATGCTTGTTCCCCCCTTTTTTTTTTAAATACACTTCAAATAGAGAACCAGATAGCCAGGATACCACCAAGCATAAAAAGTTTCTAGACAAAGCCATTAATTTTCTTTCAAATCTTGAAAACTAAGTTGTTTAAAAATTAGAGGAAAGTGTTGTTCCAAGTCTTCCAGAAGCAGGGAATTTTAGTTCAACAGTGGAATAGAAGGAAACCAGATGGAATCCATACAGCAGGTTCTATGCATACAGATCCACACAAAACATGAACTGTACAGGACAAGAGAAAGACTTCTCAAATCAATCCACTGCATCTTGTTTCACCGATTTTGAAATTTGTAATACTTTCAGAAATATCCCAATTTCAAGATCAGACTTAACTAATCAAATTTCTGAGTGGGAAATTTTTAGATTCATTTAGTTATCTGGGATACACATTCAATGCAGACTTCATACAGGTAATTTGGAGTAGGTTAATTTAGTTTGAACAGCTAGTAACTATTCCCTGGGGTTTTTTTGTGTTTTTTTTTTTTTTTTAATTTCACTTGATATCCTGTAAACATGCATCCTGATAAAGAGAGTACCTCCATCTTCTCTGTAACTACTTTTTAGGGATTGGAAGGTTGTGGTTAGATCCGCCAAACATTTTGTTTTCTAGGCAGAACACACACAATTCCTTTGACCTTTCTTTGTATGCCAAGTTCTCCAGCTCTCTGGTCATCTTGGTTGCTCTCTGCTGAAC